GAGCACCCCCAGCTCTCCCAGCCTGCACAGGCTTTTTATAATCTGAGCTGCACAAGGATTCATACCCTGCTTCAAATAACCCAGAAGTGCCTTTTTTTCTGCTTTGGTGCTGCAAAGGGTCCAAGTTTAAATGAAGAGGAGCTGTAGAAGAAACCTACAAAGAAGCAAAGGAGTGGGGGTTAGGAAGTGCCAAGAGGGGATGATCCTGATGTAGGATCTGTCTGAGGTTCTGGAGGCACAGCACAAATTCAAACTGATTCCATTCTGTGAAAAACGCCAATCACTTGTTTTTAAAATTTAAAAAGTTTAATAGTAATAAAATGTTATAAAATAGTTGATGTTATAAAATAGTATAAAATAGTTACAAAAATAGTAATATAATTAGAGTAATAATAATTTGGACAATTTGAATTAGGACAATATGAGACAATAGAGGCAAAGAGTTACAGACACTCTGGGTACCTTTTCTGGGCAGCACGAGCCCCAAAAATGACACAGTTAACAAAGGATTAACCCTTAAAAGCAACAGCCTGTTGTATATTCATACACCTCATCCATGATGCATAAATTCCATTCAAACACAGGATTCTGTCTGGGCACTGTCAATTTCTTCCCCTTAATCCTAACAGCACCTTCGAAGTAGGAAGAAGTTCATTTCTTCTGATAATGGAGCAATAAATTCTTTTTCTCTGAAAGATTCAGGTGTCTGGGGCTGCTATCTCGCTGTGAGTCCTTTCTTTAAAAAAAGTATCTTACATAGCATAGTTTCTATTTTAACATATTTTTTTTATAACCCAAAACTATATTTAACACGCTACTTAAGACAATGAATACAGCATTACTTTCTAACACAACACATATAATGTTCATTTTAATATTTGTGAAAAGCCAATCATAAAATAGGCATTTTTCACACATTCTAATGCAATCCTAACATTGGGGGCACAGCCAGGTCTTCCCACACCCCAAAAATTCCTGCAGCCTGTCCTCAGCACAAGGAAGCAGGGATGTTAAGTCAGCACCAGTCCGTCTAAAAGTCTACTGGAATGAGTCCAAAACTCAAATACAACCAGCCCCTCTGAGACAGATTCGGGCTCCTGTGTGCTAATGGAGCACTAATTCTGTAAAATGGATTAATTTGTGCCTTGCAGACAGAAATTTAATCTGTTCCTTTTAATTTTTTTAAGCAAAGAGTAATTAGTCATAGTGAGGTTAGTGAGAACCAAGAAAATTGGTTTCCCCCTTAGTTTTCCTATACTGTAAATAACATCTCTATGGCATTTAGAGGATTTACCAAAGTAACTTTTATCTGGTTCAGAACTGTATTTAAGACTATTTCCAAATTACCCCCTTTACTTAAAGAATTAAACTTGTTTTCTTACTACGCTGCTGTGTCACAAGGCAGGATATCCTTAACTACTGCACTCACATCAAATGCCTGAGTAAACAACAAAAAATCTTAAAAGAAAAAAGATATTATTTCATAGAATCATGGCATATCTCGAGTTGGAAAGGACCCTCGAGGATTACCGAGCCCCGTATAGGACACCCCAACAATCCCATCCCGTGCCATTACACAGGACAGACGGATTCTGAAGGGTTAAAACTTTGTAAACGGATGTATATTCAGAAGATGAGGTTATAAACAAGCACAC